ATTAGACGCCACCCCCGCAGTTGATGGGAAAGTCTTAATTCATTCGAAGCGATTTAAATTTGTGATTCAGTTTTGTTTGTCTTGTGTGGATTTTCCGAATATAATCAAACACTGTTCAAAGCGCGGTTCCTGTAACTGGCAAGAGATCGTTTATATGCAAATATGCTGGCTGGTGGAGTGAAATTTTTGAGAGTCACGTCGAAAATGTCCCGGCCAATCTGCATTGAGAATCGTGTCTTGTTCTCTCATATTTGCTGTCAAAATTCGACATGAAATAAACAAAGAGTTTCGAGAAATGGGCCCCGCATGCCGCTTAAACGCTTCAGAGTTACAAGGGGACCCTCCGTCAGACTGTCGGGGGCATTTTATAGCTTCGATGGTAGACAGATAGCGAACCATCGTACTCAGCAGGGTACTGGAGACACTGTCGCTGTTGCATTTCTCTGAACTGTGAGATGGAGCTAATTTATCATAGTTTTACGATCGTTTTTGGGCGTTTTATAGTTGAAAACAAGTCGTAGTAGAGAAGCAACCGAATATTTAAAAATTGAATTTGGCACACACGAAATCTTTACTTCTTGAGCGCACTAGAATATTTTTATAAGAAACTCAACCTATTAAAGGACAAATTTGAGTGAGTTTTTTCACTTCTGACAAACTTCAGATGCATTTAAGAGCCAATAATGCATTTTTGGACTTGAAAATCGCAGTTTTCGTGAAAATTGTACGAACATTTTTGGACAAAAAATCTTCTTTTGCTGTATTTTGATAATTGAAAAATGTTCGTCAAGCGTCCAATTTTCCCTCAAGATAACTTTTTGAGGAGTTGAATAATTTTTAAGGTTTTAAGGCCCAACAAACGATTTTTCAGGGAAAATTCATAGTGGATTCAGGGCATTCCTAGGCGCATTTCAGGTAAAAAACAATTTTTTTCGGAAAAATCGGGTTTCTTCTGAACCGTGAAATTTTCGATGAAAATTACTTTTTGAAAAATTTAAATCGGTTTGTAAAACATGAAAATTATGAGCATTTTAAGATCGAATGATCGATTTTATGAGCAAAATATTCTCAGTGTTTGCTTTAAGGGAAATTTCCAGTGCAAATACGTTCGAAAACCCGAATTTTCGGAAAATGTTTTTTGCTGTTAAAATGTTCGCAAGACTCCCTTGGTACAGATTGGAAGTCAATTGGAAAACTTGAAAGTTGTCTTGAAAATTTCAAAATTATTAAATATAATTTTTTGGATTGATGACGAGTTTCCAATGCATTTAAGGCCGAAAAACGAATTTTTGAAATTGCTGACTTTTTCTTCTGCAAATTTTTCGCATGACTCTCTAAACACTGGCTCGATTTCGACAATTGAAAATTTGTTGGACCACGCATGATTTCAAAAAATCCACTTTTCGCACAACAAAAATCGGTTAAAAACCTTAAAAGTTATGTGGGTTTTTACTGGGAGAAAAGGCGATTTTCCCCCAGTTTGGGTAAACAGTGTATTTGGGTTCTCAGCACTTTTTTTGCTGGAGAAGTTTCAGTGTAACAAAAAGTTGCCCTTTGGAAAATTGAAATCGGTTAAAAAGCCTGAAAATTACTCCAAACCCTGATTATTTTCAAGTTTCTCATCCGATTTCCATTTTACATAAAAGCGCGGTTTAGAGGAAGCCAAACGGTTTCCAACGAATTTCAATTTTTCAAAATCGGGCCGGTGTTAAGAGAGTTTCACGAAAAACTAAAAAAAAATCATTTTTAGCTCTTACATGCATCTGGCAATTTTTTAGAGTGAAATTTCAAAATGTTCAAAATGTCAAAAGTTTCAAACATTTTCAGCTAAATTCCTCAAATCAAAATGCTTGGTTAATTTAAAAAATTGGCTAAAAGTTTTTGCATATTATGAAAGTAATTATCAGCAGTGTGAATGAATAACAGTTTAAACGATGGAAAAAAAGGGAAATAAACCACATATTAAAGTTAATATAAAATAGAGAAATCGGGCCTGTTTTCACTAAAATAGCCCTTTCTATAATCGATAAATCATGCTAAAATAGTAAACAGTTAAACAGGCAATAAAAATGAAAATTTTTGAAAAATGTCTGCTAAAAGAGGCCAGAAGAAAGAATAGGAAAGATGGTAGTAAATGAGGCAATCAGAACAGCAATATATCTAGAATTAAAACAATGGAGAAATAGACAGAACAAATGCAACAAAATTTGCTACAACCAAAGCAAAAAAAAATGGTTTTTATTTTTGCAAAATCTTATTAGAAGTAGCAATGAGAAACATATTAATTTTAATGAATAAGAAAACCGCAAAACAAAAAAGAATTGAGAAACTGAATCGACTAATGCACAATAAACATTAGAAATAGGCAATTTTAATAAAATAAAATGGAAATTGAGACTGAACACTAAGAAGCAAATTAAGAAATAATCCAACAAGAATAACGGTAAATGGCTTGAAAAAATTAACGAAACGAACTGGTTATGATAACAATAAAATTGTTGAACATATGACAGAAATATCGAGGAAACTAAACATTCAATTAAAATTTTCAAGGTAGATTCTTTCGCAAAGCAAACGCCGCTATAAGCATAAGGAGATCAAGAGAATAACATTGACAATAAATGAAAAACTATATTAAAAGAAAAAAATAAGTTTTATTAAGTCACAACAACCTAAAGTCAAGTAAATAAAGTCGCATGCAATGAAGAACGCAAACGCGCTGAAGAAGAAAATGCAAGAAGGATTAAGAACCGAAAATTGTGAATTTGGTCAAATAACACACAAGACTTAAGGCGCTAGTTTCAATAAGAATAGGTTAAAAAATGTGTTAAATATTCAAGAGTTTTGCAGAAAAACAACTACCAAAATGAGGCTTGTTTTTTTAAACTTTAAAATCTAAGTCGTGCAAGTTTAGCAACTCGGTTTTCTTTAAAATTGTTTTGTCTTCATCACTTTTGCGTCAAAAATAGGAATAAAAAATTGGAAATATAAAATCTATTAAAAAGTATTGCTTTAATAATAAGTTTCTCTTAAAAAACATGTATTAAGAAATGGAACCAACCCCATAAGGCTGTTGTGCTTGCCTAAAGAATGAACACTGTCAATGAAGGCAAGAATTAATATAAAAACAAAAAGTTAAGAAATCCTGAAAGAAATTAACTTTCGCAGTGAATTATGATTTTAAAAACCTAAAGTGAAACAAATAAACTCATACACAAAACATATAAAAATCGCTATCAAATTAAGCATCATCAAAATGAAAAATTATGTGTAGGTACTTAGTAAAATTCCTGTTGTCAAGTTGTCGGGGTGTTAATGCAAAGAAACCTTTGTTGTCCTAGTAGTTTCCATCTCTTGAAGAAAATTGACTTTGCAATTGCCATTAGGTTTATTGTAAATAAAATTGTGAACAGGTGAAACAGTGTGATCAAATTTAGACTTTTTATGGTCTCAATCTTCAAGCATTTCTTCCAATTTTTTCATTGTTCATCATCAATATTACAAACGCTCAACATTTCGAAGTAAGATTTATTTCTGTGTTCATATTTCAACTGGAAGGACCTGGAGCCTTAAATGTAGATTAATGAATAAAATAATGGTGATCTTCCAGTTGTTTTTTCCAAGTGAGAACAATGATTGGGCTTGAGCCATGGGATTGTTAGCTGTTGAATGTCCCCGGCCATAAATAATCCCATGCAGATGATCGAAAAACGGCAGAAAAACAACTTAATCGTCGCGTTAACGTGTGTATATTGAATAAATAATCATTGCCACAAAACCAAATGTTGCCATTAGCAGTTGTTTGAAAATATACAATGCTTCCCCTGTCGTATATCGAATTACGACGGCATAAAACACGTGTAAACCAAAACACACGCAGCACACAGACTCGTTAAAATTTTTACCGTTTCCTCTTGTAGTAAATATTTCTAAATCGGAATGCACAGATTGGGTATTATTGCCGTTATTGAACACAAAACAGCCCATTCAGCTCACGTCCGTCCATCAATCGAATCCAGCGGACAAATGCCACCCAATTATCAATCTCAAACAAACAATTATGAAGGTTAAACAATGTCCTAACCAAGTCGTTCACACCTCTAAATCATGCCCATAATGAGCTGTTGTGCAAACACAGTTCGATCAAATAAGAAAAAAAGGAACTGAAAATCCTAAACGGGTCTTCTTTAACCACTCGGGATTCTCATTCACCAGTGTCGTAGACAACTCGCACATCTGCCTCATTTAAATGATTCCAGCAGGAAAAACCTGAAGTTTACTCAAATTACGCATAAAACCCACAGGAAGCATTCTGAAATTAAATTCAAGTCAAATTTCCGAAAGCCCAACACGCACATTACCTCAATCCATTGCCTTCCACTTTGAGAGTCATCGATCAAGAAATACACCGTGGCCGTTTAAAATTCAGAACAAGAACAAGACAGCAACGAAAGTCAAAATAAAACTCCGAAGTCGGGAGATAAAAAATCAAATTGAATAAATATTTATTTAAATGAAGCAGGCCGGGTTCGAGGCTGCACTCCAAAGATTACCTGCGGGTTAAACGAGGACAGAAGGACGGATGAAAAAGGAGATGGGCGTAGAGGTGAGACCGTACAATACCCAAGAGGTTGGCCATTGTGTTGATCTTGTGCCAGTGGCGTAGCAGATGGTTTTCCGATTTGGGTATCCGGCAAAAATCTCCCTTGTTATTTTTTCGAAGCAGTTATCTAATCTTAACACTCAGTTAGGGATGAAATGCCTCGTTAAAAACCTTTTAAGACGTGTGCGAAAATATCCTCTCAAAACGCCCTCGCAGATGCATGGGGTCCATCCCTTGGCATTTTCCCCTTTTGGTAGCAATCATCGGATTGTGTAATTTTAGATGTCGGTAATCGTGCCCATATGGACTCGCTCCGACGTGCCACCCATTCATAATTGCCGACTAAACTGATGCAAACAATTTGAAAGGTTTATTAATAGCTTTCTTTCTTTTGCAGGTCAGTTCTCAACCAATCCAATTCCATGCTTTGTAAGTACATATATTAAGTCCCTTGTGACATTATGCCAGATTAAAGCTAGAAATTGTTTGTGTAAACTTGCCAATATTTGCCCAAACCTTTAAGGTAAACGTTTAGACATAACAACATCGAAATTCATATGTAATACGGTGAAAATATGTGAGAAAACACCTGCCATCGATTTGTTTAAATAACTGGTTAGCAGATCGAGAGTAAATAGCAAATTTTACAAGCTAAGCTAATTTTCCATTCGATTTCCGGAAATATTTAGCCAAATCTTAATTAAGGGTTGACGACCCTGATAATTAAGCCGTTTGAAACGTTGTTCTATTTGCCCGTAAAAAACCAAAATGTGTCATCAAAGTTAGTTTAGTATGTGTGAACTATTCGGAAATATTCGGGCAGAATTAAAACAATTTACGTTGCTGGATAGGGCAGTTTTCCACTATTTTTGTTAATTATACTACTATTTTTTATTAATTTTACTGCCCAGTTGGAGCTTTCTGGCAGCCATTCATTGAAATATAAAATACTTTTAAATCGAGGTTTATCGCGTTTAGAAATAGGTGGAGAAAAATCGTCGAATCTGACTATGTTCTCATTCATGCTATTAGTAAACTATTTGGAAAGTTTCCAATTATCTTTTATTATCGAATTGTATCAGGAAATATTGGGGCGCATGTTTTGCAACCATATCGGCTTAGTTTCAATGAAATGAAATTCACACACGAGCAAAAACCTGCCAGTTTGGCCAAAAACGGACATCTGATTGTGTAAACGCTCCCAACAGAGAAGGAAATAGGAAATTTATACGAAATGCAATTGCCATCTAAATTATTGAAATTGTATGTAAACCAGGCGGAAACTAAATGGAGATTTAGTATTTTTCTTGAAAAGTAGCGGAAAATCGAATGCTTTGTATCTTGCCTATTTGGCTCATACTATGAATATACTAGTGGGAAACTGTGAAATGCCGGTCAGTTTTGGCTTATGACAGCCTATTTGGGGATACTATGTTTACAATCTACAGTGTTTATTCGAGGAAGAAGGTTTATCATACTATAAGAAACTAGTTGGGCATTTATTACTATGCTCATCAAAGAAACTGTTTTTAATATCGACTAAAATATTTTATAAGGGATCCAATCAAATTCCAAGTTTAAAAATTTCTGAATAATCAGCAGAAGTAGGGATTTTAGTGACACTTGGTTCGCCTTTCGATAAAACATTTTTCTTCGTGGTGCGAACATTTCAGTTTGTTGATGAAGGTGGATTGGGAATTACGAAGTTTTGTTTAACTGCACTTCAAGTTGTACGGTTTTTTCTAATTTCTCGTCAATTTTCAAAACTTTTGAAAAATCAGCGGAAGTGAAGATTTTAGTGAAATTTGTTTTGCTTTTCGATCAAACCCTTTTATTTATGGTGCGAAAATTTCAGTTTGTTGATGGAAATGGTTTGGGAGTTACGAATGTTTGTTTAACTGCGCTTTAAGTTGGACGGTTTTTTCAATTTCTCGTCATGTTTAAAAACTTCTGAAAAATCAGCAGAAGTTGGGATTTTAGTAACATTTGGTCCACTTTTCGGTGAGCATTTAAGCTTGTGGATGTAAGTGGCTTGCGAGTTATGAATTATTGTATAACTCCACTTTAAGTTGGACGGTGTTTCTAATGTATCGTCAAGTTTAAAATTGTTTGAAAAATCTGCAAAATTGAGGATTTTAGTGAAATTTGCTTCGCTTTTCCATAAAACCCTTTTATTCATGGTGTGAAAATTTCAGTTTGTTGATCTAAGTGGTTTAGCAGTTGCAAATTTTTGTTTTAACTGCACTTTAAGTTGGACGGTGTTTTTATTTCATCGTCAAGTTTAAACATTTCTGAAAAATCAGCAGAAGTTGGGATTTTAGTGGCATGTGGTCCTCTATTTGATAAAGCATTTTCCTTTATAGTGCGAAAATTTCAGTTTGTTGATGTAAGTGGCTTGGGAGATACAAATTTTTATTTAACTGCGCTTTAAGTTGGACGGTTTTTTCAATTTCTCGTCAAGTTTACAAATTTATGAAAAATCAGCAGTAGCGGGGATTTTAGTGAACTTTGGCTCGCTTCCAATTTTCTGCTGTATTTGGTTTAATGTTTCCTCGCATTGAATTGACTTTTGAACTAAATTTTAATTCTAACCTAACGAATTTTCTCCATAAATTATTCACTAGTGTAAACTAGACGAAAAATAAAGCTAAATTTACTTAATAACAAAAAACTAGCCACCACTTTTTCAATGGAAAACATGAGAGGAATAATAAGTTCGATTAAAATCAATAAAACAATGTTTTACTGCCCATTTCTTGTAAACAATCTCGTTACATGAAAAATACTTGGACATTTGCGTATATTTCATAAATTCAACAAACAACTAAGAATTTTCATTAACCTTGAGATCTCAGTTCCCAATATATTTTTTTTTTTGTTAAAAAGCGCAATTGAAAACAGTCAAATGAATAAAGCGTTCGAGCAAATGTCTGACACGATATTTCCATAATTTTGTTTCAAATTATTGCCTACTTTATGGACACAAATAGTTAATTTGTGTATACAACTTATGCCTCTGAGCTGCTTCCATCATACTAGTTATTACTAAACTATTCTCTAAGCCGAATCTTCAGCTGCAGGTTTTAGGCTGGATAATTGTTCGTTAAATTAAAATCATATTAATCACAAGATTTGACTCAGGAAAAGTCGGCTTTAATCAGATAAAATTATGCTAACCTCCATAGAAAAAGGGTATTTTGAATCACTACAATACACCATTTTGACTTAAGTTGTGAACTTACTATTCAGAAGGTGTTTTGATTTACAATCGTGGTTTTACTCAGAGTGTCTGGGCAAAATTGACAACAGATTTTATTACAGATTCTTAGAAGGATGCATCATTATTTATATTTTTATTTTTCTCTATTTCTTGATATTTTAAGTAAAATATGGCTGATTTTTTAAGCATCACGATTTGTCGAACAGAGTTTCTAAGCAGGTATTCAGGAAAGATCACAAATAAAAAAATGTGCGACAGAAACGATAATTACAGGCAATTTAATTAATTAATTAATTAATGAACGGAGAGGATGTCCGAGTTGCAGGTTTCCCGTTTCGAAACTGTGCAGCTAGTTCAACGTACTTTTCCTACATAAACACACGTATTCATATCTTCTCGTTAAGGCCATGTTTATACCTCCGCAACGAAACGGCTGCCTATCTTAATCAAAAACGTACTCAAACGTATAATTAAATGCTATAAAATGATTTGTGGCAATTCTCAAGCCAATTAGTCAAGTATTCTTCTCAACACGTTCGTAAATATCGAATACTTATCCAAGCTAGTGTGAGCTAGACAAGGATGGTGCGGTTCATTCATGTTACTGTAGATCCGTGGATTGAACTCACGAATACCTTGGTGACCCTTACGAGATTGTATAGGTATTCGTAAATTGCTTTCCAATTTTCATACTTTGCAAAGTGGGCGAATTTTGCACTATTATTACCAACACTCCTAGTAAATTATTGGATGACCCACAGTGTACGAGGTTTGATTAGAATACGAGAAAATCACACGAAAATTACAAGAAAAATTATTTCGGAAGACATTAATTGTAGAAATTCGCATGGAAAATGCAAAATCTGATATGGCAACCTTCGAAACGCGTGTTTCAACTTTATTTGATTTGCCGCAAAATAAACCGCCCTTTAAAGAGCTTTCGTCAACATCAAAGTTGTGAGTTTTTTGCTAGCGTTAAAATCGCAGAAAATGCGAAACAGTCCGTGAAAAGGACTCGGAAAACCGATTTGGTCGTTTGAAAACCCCACTGCCAACAACGTTCTTAATTTCTGATTTGTGTCCATATTTTCCCGCAAGAATAAATATTTTCGCTTTTGATTTATTTGCTAGACAGTAAAGGTTTGCGGAGTTTAAGAAAAATGACATCAACAAGCAAATGATTTATTTGCGCGACATGCAGGTGATTAAGCAACACTTTTAAGCATTTAAATCACCTTTAATGACCATGCTTAATTAAATTTTGGCTCGTCCAATTAACTAGCATCAGATAGCAAGCCTGGTTTTTAAGCTGCCATGCACTGATCTGCAGATACGGCGAATTCCGCAGGAATGTCTTCAGATGGTCATATTTAACTGCTCTCAATTCGCAGTCTGCCACATGCATTTTTCAACATTTTCTTTTGGAGTTTGCCACAAATTTCCAAACCTTGCATGGAAACATTGTATGTTTTTGTCATTCAGTCGTTGGAAATTTTAATTTCCATCTAACTAAACCGGCGAGATATTTGTGAGTCCGGATGCTTGCTAGTTCTTTGTAATTCACTCCAGATTCTATAGATTTTTCGATTTAAATTCTTCTCTCAACGTATGTTTTTAAACAAAGAACTGCATGAGTCATACGGTAACATGGTTTTTACATTTTCCTTAGTTTGAAAGTTATTCAAAGCCAAGACGATCTTGTTATAGATTCGTAGAAATTAAAGTTCGATTAGTCAGCTTATTTTTAAAAAATCATTGAACGTTTTTAAGGCTGCAATCCAAACATTGGTCGTTACAATTTCTTCAGTTTACGTCTAAGCGGTAATAACCACAGTTTGGGCTTTTTCCGTTTCTTCGCTTCAATTTAGTCAATTATTCCATTGATAAAGAAATTAACTACAATCGAATAAGTCGTTTAGAATTTAAAGCGATTTAAACTATTGCATATTCAGCAGCTTCTATTCCACCTGTTACGTGAATCCGACTCGAAGGACCAAATTATGTTACGTAAATTTCAGTCGAAGGGCCATCCTTGCTTAACACTGACGTGATTTTTATGTTTGTGGGTCATTTCCCTCACTGTGTTTTTTGTGTTGTGTTTTTCAGGCTACTGATAACTTCTCATGTTGCCAAGTGTCCTTTTATTACGCGAGTGACATTGCCATTACAACTTTCCTTGCTACAATTGACCGAACATTTCAAGGAATCA